CAAATGTGTTTGAGTGATTATAACCCATATAGTGTTGTGTTGCTATATGTTGACACAAAACAAGAAATTATACTGTATGTATCATTAATTTCATGTTGAGGTATTAGTAATTCCATGAAGTACTCATTACTTAGATATCCAAACAATTAAAGGATAGGAAGCATTCTTACATGTGCCAGTTAACTGTTACTCTATTAGATATGAGCAGAAAATAAAACTTGTTTCTCGAAAGCACCAAAATATATCATGAGTTATTAAAAGCTTCAATCATTTTATGTTAAAAAACCTAGGTTCGACTGAGAAATAGATGTGGAAGACATGCTAATTTAGTTACTTAGTTGCATAAACTTCTGCTTTGCAAGCTTCCTTCACGTAATGTCAGCCGATGAACTTTTTGTTTCCAGGAAAGGTGATTACTATCGCTACCTGGCTGAGTTCAAGGCTGATCAGGAAAAGAAAGAGGCAGCCGAAGAGTCTCTCAAGGGCTATGAGGCATGTTAAATTAACTTAAGAGAAGTATCATATTAGTACAAGATATTAATAAAGATGGTCCTTGTTTGTTCTCATTTTTACGCGGTCCATGTTTGTAGGCTGCTTCAGCTACTGCAAATACAGATCTTCCCTCTACTCATCCTATCCGTCTTGGTCTTGCTTTGAACTTCTCGGTGTTCTACTATGAGATCATGAATTCTCCTGAAAGGTAACTTAATTCGTACTTATGTTGCTTGTAGGCAGTCTATATATTCTCTTTTAAGATTTTTGCTTCCCAACATGTTTTTTCCTTAAAAAAGTGCATCCTATAGAGGGAATATTTGTGAGGTAACTACAAACTTCAAGGGGTATTTGTATTTAAATTTTAATGTAAGACCTTTCTTGTAATTAGACCAACAATCAGAGGCAATTATTGTATTTATCCTTTGTTCATGATCCATTGTTTCAAGATTTCTCAGAATCAAGGGTGGATGACAGAAAAAAATAAGTAAAGAACATATCCTTGAGGTTTTTATTTTCTTATCTAATTTCGAGTAGAAATAAAATCAGCTAACTTGTAAAATTATAAATCTCTCTCGATAGTTTTACCGATTGTACCCTATTCGTCAACTGAAATATAAACTTCAAGAAGGTATTTGGCCAATTTCTACTTTTCTAGTTTTCTTTCCTTTCCTTCTATCTGTTTTCCAGATATTTTTAACCTGGTAAGTAGTTTTAGCCTTTGATTGATTCAAACAAAAAACCAATTATGTGATATTTTCTTATTTTAAATTGGGCAGAGCTTGCCATTTGGCTAAACGAGCATTTGATGAGGCCATCTCTGAGTTGGATACTTTGAGTGAAGAGTCTTACAAAGACAGCACTTTGATTATGCAATTGTTGAGAGATAATCTCACTCTCTGGACCTCCGATTTGCCTGAAGATGGTATGTATGTTCTTTTTTGTTTGTCTGCATTTGGACACAGAAATAACATTCTCATTTTGATCTAAAATGGCAAGAGACTATTCTTGAAATAGTTTTTTCTTTCCTTTTTTTTT